GTAATTAAAATATCATCAGCGTATAGACTGATTTTTTAATCCTCATCCATTGTTTTATAACCGTAAATCTCTTTATTATTTCTAATATTCTCAGCCAATGGCTCGATAGTCAGCAAGTAGAGTAATGGTGAAAGGGGACAACCCTGCCGAGTGCCATTTCTGAGTTGGAACCATGGGGCGACAATATTAGGTCCGATAGTCCGTGCAACTGGATTTACATATAACGCCATTATGGCTTTCTTAATCCAACCTTCCAATCCATAGTGTGATAAAACGGCTTCTAAGTATTTCCAGCTGACTCTATCGAATGCTTTTTCAGCATCAAACGACAGAGTCTGAACTGGAACATCTTTTCTATTTGCATCATCCAGGATATTAATAATTTTCCTTATACTTGTATAGGAGTTTCTGCCTGGTACATATCCTATTTGATCTTTATGGATAATCAATGGAAGAAGTTTTTTTATTCTAGCAGCCAAAACCGAAGCATATAACTTAGTGTCTACATCTATTAAAGATATCGGACGATAGTTTTTGATGTCAGTGGGGTTTTTATCATTTTTCAAAATAGGCAAAATATTAGCTTTAAGCATTTCTGCTGGTAAGAATCCTCTGTTTGCTGCTATATTAAAAGCAGAGGTCAAATGTGGACATATTAAATCTCTAAATGTTTTATAAAAAAGGTTGCTAAACCCATCCGGGCCTGGTGTTTTAGTTCTTTCTAAATCATTTATTACTTTCGTAATCTCCTCCTGAGTTATAGGTTTATTCAAAAATTCGTTTTCATTGGGTGTTAGTTGAAACTTCTTTATATTATTTAGATAGTTTTTTATATCCTCATCTGTATTGATTTGAGGTATATTATATAGATTGGCATAATATTCATTAAAACACTTTCCAATCTCTCTAGGGGTTAATGCTATTTTTCCATCTTGTATTATTTTATCTACCTTATTTTGTCCTTTTTGTTTTCTAAGTTTTTGAGATAGCATCTTTTCAGCTCGATTACCTTTAGAGTAATATTTAAGTTTCGATCTATCCATATTTTTGGCTATCGTATCCATTGATTTTTGCTTTATTTTTTCTTTAAGTTCTAATATTTTATCATAAATTTCAGGAGATGGAGATTGTTTATTAATATGAGTCATGTTTCTTAGTTCTGTATATAGATATGCCTGGGTATTATTTTTATCAAGCTGACTTTGTAGCTTGATAATATGACCTCTTATAACAGCCTTAAAGGCACACCACAAAATAATTGGATCAGTATTTTCTGAGATATTTTCTTTGAAGTAGTTTTTTATATTATTTCCTATGTAAGTTTTATTTGATTCACAACAAAGCAAATTATCTCTTAGCCGCCAGGTATAGGCTTCTCTTTTAAATGTACTAAAAATCATTTCGCAAAAAACTCCATTGTGATCTGTCCAAACTATCTCCTCAATCTTTGTTTTTTTGGTCATATCAATAATACTTGGATCAACCCAAATCATATCCAATCTAGAATAAGAAAAATGCACTTTGGAAAAATGCGTATAATCTCTCTCAATAGGGTTAAAAATTCTCCAAATATCAAATAAATTATATTCATCTTTAATTTTTTTTAGAGCCTTTGCTTGTTTTATCACCATCTGATTTAAAGTATTTCCTTTCATTAATTTTTTATCTATCTGAGGATCCGATACAGCATTAAAGTCCCCTGCCACTATTAACTTTCCCACTTTGACTTCATCTACTTTTTCCAAAATTGTTTTTAAATAAGCAGCTGGTGAATAATTAGGAAGATATATATTACATAATGTAAAAAGTATAGAGTCAATTTTGCATATTATTATTAAATATCTGCCTTTAGAATCTTGTATTTGATGGATTACTTCAACCTTAATCCTTTCTCCAAATACCACAGCTACTCCACATTTTTTTTTCCTTATTAGAAGCTTGAATTATAAGTGGAAATCTTTTACCCCCCCAATTCTGTTTATCCGCTTGTCTCCAATGAGTTTCTTGTAAAAATATTAAATTCAATTGTTTTTCACTGAGGTATTTATACAGTAAATTTCTTTTCCCTATAGTATTTAATCCCTGAACATTAAGTGTGAGCATTTTTATCATATTATCTTCAACAACTTCTCTACATCCCCTTCCACTCGATAACCATAACCCTTCCCTATTGCTGCAAAAACATACCAATACACACACACAGAACAAAATATTAAAATCATAGGAGGAAATCCTCCTTTTTTAACATAAAGACTGTAAGTCTCCATTTGGGAATTCAGTCTTTACTGTGTCTTTAAGTTAGACACTAAGTGGGCGTGTCCAGAAAGAGGTAATAATATCTGTAAGTTAGCGATCTTTCCCCAAGAGGGGGGAGAGAGAAAAAAAAAACAAAAAAAAAAAACTTTTATCTTTACTTTAATTAAATCTATTTCTTTCTATCTTATTGATACATGTGAATAAATTACTTTTAACCACCTCATTGAGTTCAAATCCGATTAATACTTAGACATGTTTGCTTTTAACTCCTTTTTCCACATAATTATGTGCATATACGTGATTAATTAATACCTTTAAAGTGAAAACAACCAACAATTACCTCAATAAGTTTGTTAATTATCCATTATACAGCTAGTTTTGTACTCAACTCCATTGCCCTGTGATTCTTTACTTTAAGTAAATCTATTTCTTCTTACCTTATTGTTACATGTGAATAAATTACTATTAACCACCTCATTAAGTTCAAATCCGATTAGTACTTAGACATGTTTGCTTTTAACTCCTTTTTCCACATAATTATGTGCATATACGTGATTAATTAATACCTTTAAAGTGAAAACAACCAACAATTACCTCAATAAGTTTGTTAATTATCCATTATACAGCTAGTTTTGTACTCAACTCCATTGCCCTGTGATTCTTTACTTTAAGTAAATCTATTTCTTCTTACCTTATTGTTACATGTGAATAAATTACTATTAACCACCTCATTAAGTTCAAATCCGATTAGTACTTAGACATGTTTGCTTTTAACTCCTTTTTCCACATAATTATGTGCATATACGTGATTAATTAATACCTTTAAAGTGAAAACAACCAACAATTACCTCAATAAGTTTGTTAATTATCCAATGTACAGCTAGTTTTGTACTCAACTCCATTACCCTGTGTTTCTTTACTTTAAGTAAATCTATTTCTTCTTGACTAACTAATGCATGTGAATAATTTTCTTTTAGCCACCTCGTTAAGTTCAAATCTAATTAATATTAATACTTAAACGTGTTCACTTTTATCTCCTTTTTTCCACATGTTTATGTGCATATATCTAGTTAATTAATACTCTTAAAGTGAAAACAATCACCAATTAAATCAGTAAATTTGCAAATCGTACAATGCACGGCTAATTGATTCTATATAAGAAGAAAAAAAAGAAAAAAATTATTGTTTCTTCTTTTCTTCCCTTCTCCTTCCTCCTTCTCATCTTCTCTTCTCTCTTCCCTCCTTGCATCGCTACAGACCCTTCAAGCTTTCTTATTAATACTTGATAACCAACTGTTTGCATCTTTTGCGTCCAAAAAATTATTTTTTTCTTGTTTCCAAGTAAACCTTAAGGATGCTGGATAAGCCCATTGAAATCTAATCTCTTCTTTTCTTAGAAAATTTGTCACGGTGGAGAAAGATTTCCTCCAAGTCCTGGTATGATAGGATAAATCTTGCAAGAAAATTACGTCCTTATAGATAGAATTTGTTCGGGATTTAATACGACTGGCTTTCAGTAAGTTATTTCTCATTGATAGTGAGAAAAAACTCACTATTACGTCTCTTGGGAGATGTGAAGCTGTTGTGTCTGGCTTATACATTCGATGAAAATTTTCTATTTTATATTCATCTGTAGGTATTTCTGGTAAGACCTCTTTAAATAAATTGTTCAAATATTCTCTCAATTTTTCATTAGAGATTTCTTCAGAAACCCCTCTTATTCTGATGTTTCTTTTTCTTGATCTGTCTTCTAAGGATGCTATTTTATTTTCAAGATTATCGACTTTGTTTACCAGAAACTGCACTTCTGTAGTAATTGCCTTAATTTGAATTCCAAACACTTCGCATTTTTTCTCCACTTCCACCACTGATGCTGCAACATTTTTAATTTCTTGTTTTATCTCATCAAAGCTTGCCAACATGTCTTATTTCAATATATTTAATTGTAATTCCAGCATTTGCTTAAATTGATCTTGTATATTGATTGAAGCAATTGCCTGCATTTCTGAGGGAAATTGATTAAGTGGAACTTCTTGGTTAATATTAGGGATATTACTTGGGTGTGTCTTACTATCAATTATCTGTTCCTGCAGGTCTTTACTGGGAGTAGGAAAAAAACCTGACAATCTTTTTTCTGTTTGCTGGACTGACTTAGTTTCTTTCTTCTTTTCTGTTGTTTTCCTAGTTGACATTTTGTTTTTCAAACACTTCTCAATCACTAATTGTAACTAGATATTTCATATAGAGCTTTAGCCTTAGATAATTTAGATAAATTAATCAAAAATCAATTAATTAATTAAATTAGATCAGTCAGATAGGTCAATGTCTCCCCCCAAAAAAGTCCTTTTTCTTTCCAATTTTCCTTTTTCAAGCCAGTAGTTATATACACATATTAAGCTTTGCAATTTTGTGAAAAAGTACTCACAGTTTTTATGTGAAGCTATTTGGGAGAGTTTCTGAGGGGTATATCTTTTCTTGTCCCTTTTTTTTTCTCCCTTTCTTCTTATGTCTCTCACTTTCTTTTTCTCTTTTTCTCTTTTTATGGATTGTAAGGGAACTATTATTATCTTTCAAATAGAGGGTGGTTGAGAACAATACAACCTGAATATGGCTGAAAATGAACGTGGAATCTATAAAATAGCAAAATACAAAATATAGTGAAGTAAGTTAGGCAAAATTGGATTTGCACGTGGTAGAAAACTTACAAGAAGGGAGTAGTAATCACGCCTGTCATCCTGTCAGGGGTACTTTCCACATTGAAGACCGAATATATATGGCGAGGACTGACAATATCATTATCAGTCAGTCCTCGCCATATATATTCGGTCTTCAATGTGGAAAGTACCCCTGACAGGATGACAGGCGTGATTACTACTCCCTTCTTGTAAGTTTTCTACCACGTGCAAATCCAATTTTGCCTAACTTACTTCACTATATTTTGTATTTTGCTATTTTATAGATTCCACGTTCATTTTCAGCCATATTCAGGTTGTATTGTTCTCAACCACCTTCTATTTGTATATATCACCTTTGGGTTTTTATATATACGTCCTTGTGTTTATTCTTTATAGTGTGTGTGTGAGGTACACTTCTCTGAGGGTGTGTTTTTCTAGTGTATCATATAGTAAGCATATCCTTTTTTGTATTATTATCTTTCTCCTTATCCCTTTTGGTAATTCATAAAGGGACCTCTCTCCACTTTATCCGTTGTCCGTCCAAACAAAACAACTGGCAAATTTGGGAACCGGCACCGACTAGCCCACAAAACCAGCTCGACCAACACGCCAGGTCTACACCGAGTCCTTCCTCCACTTCAATCCCCCTGGGTCAGACCTTAATCACGGAGCGATACGGAGCGGCATTTCCAGCTCTCGCCTCCGCGTTCTCCTTCTTCTCACACACTCCTCCCCGGACACGCCCGCCTGTAGTGCGTGCGGCGTCTTACGTCATCACGTACCCCCCCCACTGGACCAATTTTTATGATTTTAACATATGTTTGTATTTGGAGTATGCTGATTCTGAAAATGTATTTTATGTGAATGTGATGTATACTTTTAAAGTTATGAATAATGTGGAAAAACTGTATTTCTCTGCCTGTGATAATTACATTACCCATTGTGTATGGTAATTGTATCACAGACAGAGGGGAGGATTTTGTGTGGGAGTGTCTGAGTGTATTGTACGTGTTTATTGGTTGTTTTACAAAACCCTGTGTATGTAAGAACAATAAACCCACAGCTCTGGCTGTTCCTGTTTTGACCCTAAACACGGAGCCTTGTCTCGTTCTTGGGGGGATTTATTGTATGCTGTTCCAGTACGACTGCTAGGAGTGTAAACCTTTCGTATGGTTTTTCCTATTCGACTGCTTACAGCATTCACATGTTTGAGAGCATTCATATGCTTCTCCGGTTCGGTGGATTGGTGTCTACAGTCGCTGTGCTTGTGTCTCTGGAGGGGGAAGATCTACTAAATGGCTGTTAAGACACCTCCAGTGTCTTTGGGCAAAACCGCCGTTTAGTAGACCTTCCCCATCTGCAGTAACAATAACTCCGTTCGCCTAACCTGTAGTGCACGAACCAAATGCAGGGTAAGCGGCAATTTCCCGACCGGGATCTGTGAACGGCTCCAAACTCCCGAACGGCAATACACGAACTGCTGCTAGCCGCCGAACAACAATATCCACCAAGCGGCTTTCATTTCCATCCAGCAGTCTCTAAACGTGAAGAAGAAATCCCCCCAATAACGAGACAGAAGCTCCGCATTGAGGGTCAAACAGGATCTGGCTTTACTGTGGGCTACCTGCCCGTATTTATGCAGGTCTCCCACTTGGTGGACACTCCCCTAGGGGACCAAATGGGAGACTTAAATGACAGACAGATATGGGGACATTCCAGACACACAGTCAGATTTTACCCACAGTGCATTATGATTCCCTCCCCTCTGCCCTGGAGATAATTACCAAGTAACTCAATTATCTCCAGGACAAAGCCAGTCGCCATTTTAAATATAAAATCATAAAAGACATAAAAATGCATAACTTTCAAATAACCGAACATTTCCCATTCGTATCACATATCCCCAGATAGCCTGGATCTGAGTGCATATTATTAGCGAATAGCGCTCAGATCCCACACACATAGTTCAATCGCCATGGAGTCAAAGTTCTTACAGTCTTTCGGTATACGAATGACTCCATGGGAAGGCTATCTGGGTTAAGTCTTTTTGTATGCTCCAAACCTCCCGAACGGCCGGTATTCGTATGCTTTCGTGGAGACAGCCAGGCGTTCCGTTGTTTCAGCGGTGTTCGGCAGAAAAAGTGTCAGTTTTTAGTTCCATAGAAATAGAGCCAAACACCGCTGGGCTTTCGTGTGGTTTAAAATGGCCGCTGCCTCGTGGTCGACATACGAACGACGACCACCCTGAATTCGGTTTAATTGAGAAGTGTCTGCAGTTAACCACAACGTTCTAATTGGGATCAATAGGTTAACCAGCAGCACACTTTTCTCCTGGGTGGCCGTCCGTTCGGCAGGGTTGTTCGGGAAAAAAAGTAATTCGAATGGCTGGGCTATAGGAAACAGCCATTCATACGAACGGGATACAAACAGACGAATATAACCCAAATACAAGCAGACAGATGGTTCTGTCACAATGGCCGTTTAACCCTTTTATGCCCGGGGTGCCGTTACATTGTACATATATACTTTCAATACATTTAATTATAATGAAGAGTTTCAGAATGAATAACTGTGGTGTAAGTTAAAAGGTTCTTCTGAATGAATGGTCAGATTCCCAGTATGAATGGTCAGATTCCCAGAACAAATGGTCAGATTCCCAGAACGAATAGTCAGATTGCAAGTATGAATGGTCAGATTCTCAGAACAAATGGTCAGATTCCCAGTATGAATGGTCAGATTCCCATAATAAATGGTCAGATTCCCAAAATGAATGGTCAGATTCCCAGTATGAATGGTCAGATTCCCAGAACAAATGGTCAGATTCCCAAAATGAATGGTCAGATTCCCAGTATGAATAGTCATATTCCCAGTATGAATGGTCAGATTCCCAGTATGAATAGTCATATTCCCAGTATGAATGGTCAGATTCCCAGTATGAATGGTCAGATTCCCAGAACAAATGGTCAGATTCCCAGAATGAATGGTCAGATTCCAAGTATGAATGGTCAGATTCTCAGAACGAATGGTCAGATTCCCAGTATGAATGGTCAGATTCCCAAAATTAATGGTCAGATTCCCAGTATGAATGGTCAGATTCCCAGAACAAATGGTCAGATTCCCAAAATGAATGGTCAGATTCCCAGTATGAATAGTCATATTCCCAGTATGAATGGTCAGATTTTCATGATGATTTGTCAGATTCTCAGGGTCACTGGTCAGATTCGAGCATGAATTAGAAGATTTGAGCATGAATGAGAAAATTATCAGGGTGAATGGTGAGATTCTCATGATAAATGGTCAGATTCAAGCATGAATGGTCAAAACAGCAGGATGAATGGACAGATTCCCAGAATGAATGGTCAGATTCCCAGGATGATTCATTAGATTTGAGCATGAATGAGAAGCTTTTCAGGGTGAATGGTCAGATTCTCAGAGTGAATAAGCAGATTCTCAGGGTGAAAGATTTTTAAATAGAATCTTTATTATGGTTAATAAATGATTAATACATTGAAGGGTCACTCGTCACATCATTTAGCAAGTATCCAGCGATGTTACGATAATGTACAGTTTGCACACCAACTTTTTTAGTTCTGTGATTTTGGTGGGTACTTGCCTCACATGCAGGGAACATTGTAACTGCCTTCAATACGTTCCTCTGAGGAAGAGGAGAACAGAGTGAAACAAAGTGCATTATAGACTATATATAGACTATAACATACAGACTTCTTCCCATCAACCTATCGTGCAATTACTATGTATAACTCAGCCAGTTTTATTACCTCCAGAGATTTAGCTAAATCCCAAGTCTGTTGTTGACATTAACACAACCAAAAACTGTCCATTTCCCAGAATACCTCACTAGATGAATACTGAACCCATTAGGGTCTGTGCAGCTGAAATGTTCAAACATTAAATGAATGGAGGTTTCTGTGACCATTGGAAGTGACAATTCCCATCTCTTGTTATTCACATTTTGGCAAGTGAAGACTATGTAACAAGATACTCTCTCTGTTTAGTGTCCTCCTTCTGCCAACACTCACACTGGCTAAATTGTTTCAGGCTGTGAATAATAACGCCACATACCGGTCTTGTAATAATCATAGAGCTTTATTAGAGCCGGCTGAATGTTAATCACTGGACACTCCTGCTCCAGCTGGAATGATAGGTTGACCGGGGACGAGCTCATCTGGATGGGGCAAAATGAAATTTATTACCCTTCCAAGCCTGCAATGGTTGGATTATTTATTGATTTAGCATTATAGTTTATACATCAATATTTGTAATTACTTAGTACTCAAAATGAAAAGAGAGAAACATCCAGTAAAGTCATGGTTTTATATTGAGTCTGTTTTTTCTCTCTCTCCATCGTACTACTTTATTGCTGATGTTGCAGGACCTCCGATACACTGAGTACATTAAACTGTTGGGTTTCATTTCATGCATCGACTTCTGGAGGGCATCTACATATGCACACAATCACAATACATATATTATGTTTCCATGCAACAGAGTTTTATTTATGTTTTGATTGCTTTATTTTATAAACCCACATCTTATTTTTATTTATTTATATGCTTTATTTTTATTTATGCATTTATTTATTTGTGATTGTGTTACTATTTTATTTGTGATTTTACCATAATTGTTATCTTTACAGTATTTGTTTACTCATAATAGAAAAAAAAATTACATTCAGTAAAGTCAGACCCTGAGCTGAGCATTCTTCTGAAATGTCAGAATTCTTTGCAGGTGGAATACTCATAGTATATTACAGAGGACAATATGTTATTAGGATGAGCTCAACTGTCAACCAAACGAGAGTCCCGATTCCCAAACTGCATTGTTCCATGTGCACAAGCCTACTAACTACATTTTACTACTAACTAATGCTAATGATACATTTATTTATTTTGCTCAAAACCTGTAATATTCAACATTGTGTCTGTTTGCACATGTTTGCAGATATTTGTGTATTGGGATATTTTATGCAGTGGGTGCTGCAGGCCCCTAGATTTGGATCTCAGTGGAATGCAGATTGCATACATTTATGACACCCAGAGTACTGTCTGCCATCCTACTTACCTCCAGAAGGTAGATAATGATTGATGTTTTACCTATCTCTGTCCTTTTAACCAGTTCATTCGATAAAAGCTGATTGGGAAACAGAGGG